TTTTTTTTTTTCCTTTCTTTTTCAGGTAACTGCTCATAGAGGCAAAAATCAGTCTCACTTACATCTACCTGAGGTTGGAACATATCCCAGCCCCAGAGAGTGAGCCCTTATGCACAAAAGGAGTATCTCATTAACAATTCTTTAGTATCTTACTACCTCCCACCCCTGACCCACAAAGGCTCTCTCTTTAACGAAGCCTCACCCACACAAGTAGAAAGTCATCCTCCCACTTAACATCAAATTAATAAACTGCTGGCTCAAATGACTGACTAACCACAAGCTCTAGCTGGCCAGACCTACCAGATTCCCTATTCAGATTACTCCTATTCATTTCTCACATAATCACTTTTGATATTATTTAAGATTTATGCAGCAGCTGCCCAAGTGTCATAAAGACAAGAGAATCCCAACATGGTAACATGCCAAGTCATAGTGGCTGCGGCTGGGCCTTTCCTTTGTTTTCTCTGTCCTGGGCTCTCAGCCACTTTTCTGTAATTGCCCCCATGTCTATTCAGACAGCAGGAAGCATAGTCAGTGCCCAAAACTCTCTCCATTATCATAGACCTGGCAAACATCCTGCCCATGCCTTCATGGCATGCTCACACTTGGCATCACCACATTGAAAATACTGCCAATATGAGAATGGTAGATATTTTTTATCTTTACAATATATTTTTCTCAAAAATGAAAGGTTTTTCTACCCAGACCATCTTTCTCATGTGGGAGCTGAAGTGCCAGGATGTCAGGTGCCTTATCACAGTTACAAACACAACTGGGCACAGAATTAGAATTAAAGCCCGGAACTCCTACTCACAAACCAACAGAACATTTTCTAAATCGTCCTGGAATGTTAAATTTCCCTCACTAAAGGAAACTTTTTGGAGGAGAGAGCAGATGCTAACCCGAATGAAAATAATCTCACTACAGCACTTTGAACAAGCTTCACTTGGTTTCAAATTAAAATGTGTAGATAATGTCTTCAGGATATTCTGGAATGAATGAGGTAATATATAAAATGATTGATGTACACAAACACTGTCTTTCCCATCTGATATTACAGATACTGTTGAAGAACAGCTACTTACAGCTGTTTTTCCAAAATATTTGCATAGCTTCATCTACACTCTTTCATTCTCTTCTCCTTCTTCTTTTTTTTTTTCGTGTGTGTGTGTGTGTGTGTGTGTGTGTGTGTGTGTGTACTGAGGATTGAACCCAGGAGTACTCAACCACTGAGCCACAGCCCTTTTTACATTTTATTTAGAGACAGGGTCTCGCTAACTTGCTTAGAGTCTCACTAAATTGCTGAGGCTGGCTTTGACTTCCTGATTCTCCTGCCTCAGCCTCCCATACTGCTGGGATTACAAGTGTGTACCACCATGCCTGGCTTTCACTCTCTTCTTTTACATATATTTTTTGGTCTAGTGAGGGATCGAAGATCCATTTGGGGTGTATATGTGTGTGATAGGGGCAAGAAGCAGTAGTTGGCAATAGGCACTGAAGCTAACTAGCCTTTGCATATAATGAAATCAGAAGAAAATTCTGTACTGATGTCAGACCTTCATTTCATAGACAGAACACCACAAAATGCCTTTCATTCTTTCCTTGCAATTTGTGCACAATATCTAGATAATAAAACTGAAATTCTTCACCACACAATAAATGGTTGGGCCAATTCTGTGCAGCTTTCATCCTTCTGTCTGTGTAGTCTTTGGGGAGAATATTCATATCTCAATTAGACTGTTCTACATGCAGAGGGAAAGGTGAGTGCTCTGGGAAAGCAGCAGTATATATACAGTGAGAAAGGATTGTAGGTGCCCTTATAGACTTATAATTCTAATAGCTTTGTAAAGCAGTATGACACAGGGGCTGGGGATGTAGTTCAGTGCTAGAGTGCATTCCTAGCATGTTCAAGACTCTGGGTTGGATCCTCAGCAATGGGGGGAAAAAAAGAAGTCTAAAACCTCTTATCATGTCCATAGGGGAACAGATGGCAGGTCACTTATAAGGACTCTGCAATGTATGGACGCTGTATGTCCTTTGATGCAGCCTGCTGTTTTCTTTTCACACCTACCGGCAGGACTAGCTGAAGAAGCTGGTGACTGGGCTGTCTAGGACACAGTGGGAGCAAGAAGGTATCCTTTAGGGCTAGCCACCTTCCCTTGCTTTTTCTTTCCCTATGGTCCCCTCTTAGAACATTTAGGTAATGACTTCTCTCAAATGGCAGGACATAAAGCTTATAGAGATCTGAGTTTCTTTTTTCCCTCTTTTAATCTGTTGAGGCATAGCTGAAAATTAAAATCTGAGACTCTTGAAGTAGAATGGGCTTGATCTCCTCACAGGCTCCGCTGAGCTCTATTATCAGAAACACATCCTTTTTTTTATGTGGTGCTGAGGATGGAACCCAGTGCCTCACACATGTGAGGTAAATGCTTTACCAATGAGCTACAGCCCCAGCCCAGAAACACATCTTTAAAATATATATATATTTATTTATTTTGCAGTGCTGGGAATGGAACTCAGAGCCTCACATATGCCAGACAAATGCTCTACCACTGAGTCACATCCCCAGCTCTGGAACACATCCTTTTTGAGAATGAACCTGCAACTTCATTAGTACCAATTCTCATCTACTAAGCTATGTGGCCAGTGTTCAAAATGTATGAAGTCCTTATTGTATCTTTTTTGTTTAAACTTCAAGCTACAATTTTAAATGAAATGAATCTCTACCTTAGATGACCTATTTTCAACTACAGACAGGCACTAAGGAACCATTTTGTTCCATGATGTGTGGGACCCAAAAATCTATTTTGAGTGAACATGTGTATTCTTAGCTGCATGTAATTTCCCAAAGTGGAGAAACAAGTTTTCTGCTGCAGAGTCTGTAGTCATAAGACCAGTTATGCCATCATGTTTTCCTGTACATATTTACTAAAATGCCTTGCTTGCCTGCAGACTGTAAAGGGAACTATGGGGAAGAGAAAATAAATTTCCCTTAAATAAAAGTGGAGATATAATTGGGTCCCACTCCAGGCTCTGGACACCATAATCTTTTGAGCTTTGGACTGCAGGCCAGTTGACTCATGTCTTCATACAATGTTCAAAACCTTAAGTGAGTGTCTGTGAATGCAGAGATATTTACATTCTATTGTGGATATGGAGTAACTAGGGACAAAAGAGGAAGCATAAGTCTGAAATTAGTGCAGAAAGCTTCACCTTTGTTTCTTCTCACTGGTGCCCAAAAGACCTATGTGAGAATTCGACTATTCCCAAGAATAGATTTTAGTGCTTAGATTAGCCAGGGAATTTCCCCAGACCCCTCAGTCACATGATCTATAACCAAGTTAGATTTGCTAGCCATTCTTTTGTTGTTAGTTGTAGTACTGGGGATGGAACCCAGGGCTTCATGTAGGCTACATAAGCACTCCAGCCATGACCTAAACCTCCAGCCCTTTTTGCCATACTTGATCAAGAACCACAACCCAAGGACTCACATCTGGGCAGGATTGATGCTGGATAAGAGTTAAGTAACCCTCTGGCATTTACTACTTTGTTGGATTCCAAATACTTGAAAAACAAAGTGCTGATGACTTCATGGACAGATCTTCAAAGCCAGAACACAGTTAGGTGGAACACATGTGCAGATTCAGTCACCATTACCCAGTTCTTTCTTCTCTCTCTCTTTTTTCTCTTTCTCCTCCACCCTTTTTCTTTCTTTCTGCCCAGGAATGAACCCAGGGCCTTGCACATGTAGGCACACGCACAGACTCTGAGGACTTTCTTGTACTTGCTTTCTCTTGCCTCTTTTTTCTTTTCCTTTCTCCACCCCCCACCCCCCACTACTTTCTTCAACTCTGTTACTTTTCAACAAAACTTATTTTCCCTGTAAATTTCTGCTACCTTTAAATTTTTCATGGTTATCTTCTTTACCCTGCCCTGCACCCCCCACCCCCGACACACACACTTGTGATCCACTTTTAACTTCTAGATCATGTGTATCCTCCTTCCCCCCACCCCCAAAACCTCACTTTCATCCTCTTCTCATTGTTTTGGTGCACTACAGTTTTCATCCAAGGACCAATCACACACAGTGAAGAGATATAGGCATAGAACATATGTGCGTGAAGTTGGGGCAGCTCAAACCACTTTAAACTAATTCTGCCTTTTTGAGTTTTTTTTCAAGCTAAAATCTTTGAAACAAAAGCTAGCTATGTAAGAGCACACCCAAGGAGAAAGACACTAAAGAAGTGTGGGTATGATTGGTTATTAATACAAATAGGTGAAGTAGCATTGCATTAGCAAAACATTCAATTAAAACAGGTCACAGTTAATAAGATTAAAATTGGAAAATCTATTTTTTACTTTTGGTTTATTTTTATGGGAATAAATGTTTGCTCCCAGAAATGGAAAGACTGTTTTTAAAAACTGAGGGATCAAAGAGATCAGAAGTTGAATAGCCTAATCAATTTTTCTTAGCATACAAAAATGTTGTGTATTCCTTAACATTTACAATTATCATCTAGCATAAGTATAGCTTAAATGCCAATTTTTATACTATATGAGTTGTTCAACTTCCACTCCAGCAGACATATTCTTTCTTTAAAAGTGCTAACAACCAATCAGGTTATAGCCAGACTCATCAGACCACTGAGCACTATCTTTAAGGTGGCTTTGTACATATCCATACAACATGCTAATTTTAGTTCAACAGATTTCCCATTTTGTGAGTTTTACCAACTCCAAATATTTATGTACTTAGATTTTTTAAGTCATATTATCTTATTTAACTTAAGGTTTTCTTAAAAATCTCACATATTATTCAGATTTCAAACTGAGACATATTATTGAGCCTTCTCCCTCCTGGCCCAACATCTGGGCAGAAGAAAGATTTGTAGGGACAATACACCCTTATTTGGCATTATAATCCCCAGGAAAGTAAAAGCAGATTATAATGAAGATGATACAAAGTGCAATTTGCTCTACCAGCATCTCAAGGCTTAGAGATAAACTGCCATCATACCTTCACTGCTTTCGGAGGAGAATTTTCAGAAAGGTTGGAGGCTCTGGCATCAGGACTCAGTGATTTGGTGGACACCGGCTGCTGGGCCTCACTCTTAACCTGGGCATTACCTGCTTGAGTTACAAAAGAAGGACATTTTATAGTATTTCATGGGAAATCTTAGAAAGAGCTTTTCCAAAAAAGCAAAGATTAAGCATTTTCTATCAAAGAATGGTAGTTTCAAGACCAAGAAAAACATTGTTCTTCTGATGAAGAATAAACTAAAACTTATGCTCCTTAGGTCCTCAAGTCCTCTTAAAAATCAAGTCATCAGCAAACTTTCTCACCCTGTTCCACAAAAAGTGGGAATCAAAACAACCCTGTATAGGGGCTGGGGATGTGGCTCAAGTGGTAGCCCGCTCGCCTGGCATGCCTGTAGCCCGGGTTCAATCCTCAGCACCACATACAAACAAAGATGTTGTTTC